CTGAAGTGACGCCACCAACTGCCATACCACACGGATCCCTGTTCCCGGCTTTACGGTGGAGCCTCTACTCTTCGGGGCGCTTATCCATCTTCTCAATTTCTCTCTCTTGGCTTTCACATCCAATCCTCTCTGCACACGACGCTGGACGCTATGAATGCCACCAGAGAAGGTGAAGGCTTTCGGGTTGTGGCGCTCAACATTCGTCTTCTCTCTCTTCTTTTTTGCCTTCCCACCTACAATTACAACCGCTACACGCTCCTGTGACGAGCGCACCGCAAACCTCACTGAGCAAGCTACTACCTGAAGTGGGTTTCCTATGGGCCTTGGCGGCCGTTTGGGATCCTCCACCGTCCATTGAGCCAGGGAAAAGACCAAACCAAACACTGCGGGGAAAAATACTACCAATACTGGGACTACTAGCAACCGCATGCTCTGTGTCTACGTTGGTTTCTGAGATTTTAAGGTCGATGAGAACAAATATGCGTCAAGACAACACAAGACAAGCAACACGAATGCCGTTTGTAGTGCAATACTTGCAAATAACGCTCGATAGCGTCGAGTGGATTCGCGTCAGGCTTCGAGTTGACACCCCGACAGAAGTAAAGTTGACGAGTAGCGACGATGATCATATTTGGTAGATGATAATTTTGCGAGTATTGATTCTTCCAAAACCCCATAGCCACGATTCATAATGCATGTTATAAGCGATAATAGTAGATTTCATAGTGTTTGTGCCGCTACAGCAAAGTTAACGCACGTCTGGTTTGTGAGATATGGACCATAAACTGAGAAGGCATGTACTCCCTTTCGAGTTGGTTAATTAGCGTGGGAGAGTTCAATCGAAGCCACACTAGCTAATCGAGGACCTTGACCGATATAGCCACCTTAGCTTAGTGGTAGAGCGTCTGCTTCGTAAGCAGAAGGTCGTCGGTTCAATTCCGGCAGGTGGCTTATAAACATCATTGAGCAAATTGTTTATTAATCTGAGCATGCCATATTTTTGTATATAGTTCAATGTATTCCATGTCGTGTGACCAATGTATTCTCTTACAATCAACAGCCTTATATTCCCAACTCACTCTTTGCGTTTTTAATTAACCAAAAACTGAAACTGAGAACCACAAAACGCGTTTATGCTCGGTGACCTCCCGCCCTCTTATTACAGTCGTTTCATACGTTCGGGTGCATTGCCTTGTGACAACGCGTTCAGGCAGCTGCTGGTGCAACCCCCGACGTTATCTGCATACTCTGTATTGGAAACAACGGATGTCGATCTATTCCGCTGGACCTGCAAACAATCAATCTCGAATGAGAATGTGAGGTCTGATCATCCTACTCGAAAGTTTCGTGGCTGTAGCTGTTCTTAAGCATTGAAGCAGTCTCCTGTTCACTTACAGTCCTCAGGATTCACCGACGAATCTAGCACACTCGTCGACTAGTGTAGACGCGGAAAAGTCTTTGCGAGATGTTACGACGCATTTTGATGTGACATTTGTGGAAATTCTTGGGAGAATTAAGGAAATTCTCATTGGTTTCTGTACACTTCTACCCTAATTTGTATGTAACCTCGTATAATTAGTAAGGAAAATCCTGGACTCGGCTGAGGACCGCGAACATATATATTGGGTAGTACCCGGGCATAGGAATATCGTCTACTTGACCGCGCGATTCTAAGAATGATGATATCGGATCCCGTTGTTCGAGTGTTCCTAAAATGTCTACGAACAACTCTCGGCCGCCAGTGCAGTTGATGTGTGCTCGGGAAGGAGATGCAGAGGCACCGGTTGGTTCGGCAGGGGAAATCGATGGAGTTATCGAGGTAGTGCATGGTAGTAGCAATGGTGTTGAGGATGGTCGTATAGACTGGGGAGGACACGCGGAAGGGAGCAGAGAGTGATGATGTCCTTGACGATGAGGATGTTGGTGCTGCTTCTAGTGTGTAGGAAGGTTCAATTGTTATGAATTGTGGGGGAACGATAACCCTTGTTAGGCATACTTATGATGATGAGATGGATTTATCACCAAGGAGTCGGCCCTCATCCCCGTCATCGAGCTCCGGGAGTGGCAGCTACAGCGATATGACTGATGATGAGATGAAGGAGGAAGAGGGGGAAGGATCGCAGTAGTAGGCGGTGGAGTAATTACTCTTTGCCGCTTATGGTTGTTGCTCTACAGTGGTGGTACGGATGGCGGTGATTATACAGAGTCTGATGATGAAGGCACTGAGGGGTATAAAAAGGGAGGTTATCACGCTGTTCATTTAGGGTAGTAGCAATGAATCTCTTAGTGACGTGGCAGTTGATGTTGTCAGGAAGTTTATAATGATCGTTATAAAGTGTTGGCCAAGTTGGGATGGGGCCACTTCAGCACGG